GCACAGCAATGGCATTCAATAATCGGCACTTTCTTGTAATACCCTCAGAGGTCGTGCTCCAAACGAGCACATTTGGTGGAATGCAGCAGTTGCTCTGGCTACCCAGCCTTCCACATCTGCTTTTGTCCCCCCTTCTGCGTCCATAATATTGACAAGATAACAAAATTGCTTTCAATGTTAGAACTTGGCCTCCTGCTCTTACTGGGGCACTTTCCTGGACACAGCCAGCTTGCATCATCTTGGTCTGATCACTAATTTTTCAGCCCACTTTATGTGCCTCTGTTTCAAGTGCCCATGTCAAGTCTCTCTACTGTGCTGTGGTATTTGCAAGTAGGGTGATGTCACCAGCAAAATCCATTTTGGTCAAATTGCCCTGTTTGTTCCATGGGATGCTGAAGCCTGAGTTCTTCATGGCTCTTCTCATGGCATAATTCATAATGATCAAATACCAAAAATGGGGATCACATGCAGCCCTGTCTGACACAGTCTCAGTTGTGCAGACATCAGTGGTGCCAGTTTCAGTTCTCACACAGCTTCTAGAATTATTCTGAAGGTTTTTACAAAGGTTGACATATTTCCGAGGAATGCCGTATATTTGCAATATACTCCATAACAATTCTCTGCTTAAAGGCTGTATTTTACACCATTTGGTGGGTTTGGTGAGCCCATTTTCAGCCCAAGGATGTGGCCACTTCAAAAGACAAAATGGAAAAATGCTCCTCCTAGATTTCATTCATTTCATCCCAATGGCCAAGCTTTGGTTGTTTAGTTGAAGTGTGTGTGAGGTCAGGTTTGTGTGTATTCACCATGAGTTGAGGAATTTGTCCCTATGTATGCAGGAAAATACCACCCATGTAGATGAGAAATTGAGGGAAACTTGAGTCTCTTTGTCCATAAACTCCACTGAGAGCACATTTTCCTCTAGCCAAGGCAAGAAGCAGGTTGTCTTCATCATGTTTGTGCACTTTGTGTTGGCTGGACTGATACAAAGCCCAGAACATTTGATGCTGTGCTCAAGGGATTTCTGCTGGGACAGAGTTATAAAGGCCAGGGACTTTCCATCTTCTTTCCCAATTTTCCACAATTTCTTGCCCAACTAAGGTGAGTCTTCAATATCACCTGAGAGCATGTGAAGTCATCTCCTGCCTACCACAAGCTTCTGGGAAGTGTGAAAGCTTTTTCCCTTCACCAATTTTAAGCTGCACTCTGCCAGACTGCATATGAACTCTGGCATCCATCGCAGGCAGCTGAGAGACTCCACGTCTGTGCAGACAACTTCCAGCTCCCAAGGAAAGTTACTTTGTGCCCCTTCTTGTGTGGCTGCAGCAAAGCTGCTCTGACTAGGTTTGCTCATTCTGTTCCAATCGCATTTGCGAAATTGCTCAAGCTCACACCCCAGACCTGTTTGTTTGTTTAAAACTTTTGTCCCATTAGTGAAGTCTCAGGAGAGTATAACAATACTATACACACACACACACACACTCACTCACACAAACATACAGCATTCTAACATTTAGCTAATTATAAAACCCCAATTAAAACAGCCAGGTCTTTAAACATTGGGAAAATAAAAAGGGTTTGGCCTGTTGCTGAAAAGAATAAAGTGATGGCACCAGGCAAACCTCTTTGGGGAGCGAATTCCACAACAGGGCTGTACTTCAGACAAGGCCCTTCTCCAGGTAGTCAACCTACTAACTTCTTCAGGGTGGGCACCCGGAGAAGGGCACCTGCCCTAGATCTTAAGGGGCGGCTAGATACATATGGAATGAGATACTCCTTCAGGACCTGTAATGATTCTGGTGCCTTACTGATAGTCAGATCGATACTCTGCAATCATTGGTACTTACAGTAACATCTCATGGCCCCTCTGCAGTTGACTCGTATTGTTCTGTGTATGGATGCATTCTCTTTTGAAATGTACCTATATTCCCTTGTCATCACCCCTGCTCTGCGTACATGACTAGAAGCCTGTAGAACACTCTGCACATTTTCTGGAACTGTGTTGTTGGTGGGCCTACCACTACCCAGCAGTGCTGTCCGTGAAGGCTTGTCTCTGCAGAGGGCTTTTCTTCCTAGGTCAGCAACACAGTCAGTGGTCTTCCACGGTCTGGGACTGGCCTAGGGCCGCTGGCATTCCCTGCTACTCCGGGGAAGAGCCACTGCCATGCGTGCCTGAGAGCCACATCTCGCTCACCAGGACCACCTGGGACTCACTGTGCCCCCTGCCAGTTGCCTGCCTCTTCCACGACAAAGGGAGTGGGAGGAGGAGAGGCAGCTCAGTGGGATCCGTGCCTGGCCAGGTCTGCCTCTGGGTGGGGACCGAGACCAGCCTTCCCCTCTCTCTGCCACGTTCTCTGCCAGGCAGGGCAGAAATGGGGCGGGCTGGTGTGGGAAGCATTTTCTAGGCTAGGCTTGGCTGGTGGGTCTGGGGGTTTGTTGTGGGGGGGAGTTGTATTTCAGTATTTCACAATGTGATTATTGTATTAAGTCACTTTGTTTGATTGTGTGTTGCTCTGATGCTAATATTGTACTTGAATTCCTGTTAGCTATAAGTATGTTTTTGCATTTATATTGATTTTGGGTTTTCCTATATTAAATTTTTGATCAATTATTCCTGAAAAGAAGCAACCGGAGATTTCAGTTTATTTGAGTTGCATATTGCTCTCTGAACATTTCAGTTATGTTCAACTACTTTTAATTTCAATATCTTACTCTTGTATTAGCATTTTTACTGCTCAGTTTCTGGTTATGTTAGCAGAATTTTCTTTCCTTCTTTGGTACTATATTTGAAAACAAATGCATAAAATACTATATTATGCATACACTGCTTTTTATTTCTGCCCCAGTGGTCCCTGAAATAACTTTCCCATTTTTGCCACTCCCCACCTGTAGAAAAGTTGAAATCTGCTGACACAGAGCTCTCCCTGTGGATCAGAGCGGACAGCCTCACAGACTGTGAGATCATATTCCCTGCAACTACCAGTTGCAGAAGCAACAGTTACGCACAAGGGCCCAAGCAAAGCTGCCCCTCAAAATTGTCTGCCTCTTTTCCACAGGACCAAAATCCATGTCATTCTCACCTGGTGACTTTTCTCTCCATGATTCCTCACACAGTCAAACCCCCAACGGGGCAGGGCAGCATTGAATGGATCCCAGGAGAGGGCTGAGCAGAGGGGGAAGCCTGGAGCTGGAGATGCTTTCTGATGTCGTAATGGAACCTGGGGGAAATATCCCAGCAGGACATGGGGGAAAAGGAGAGCTGAGGAGTTCCAATAAAAGCATCCAGCCCACCCCTTCATCCACATGGGGGCTGCCCATCTGGGCCTGCATGTGCAATGGGAAGCACTCCAAAGGAACCACCTTGGCATCTGTGATGCGGACTTCTCTCCTGCAACCTCACACTGGCTGCCAGGATCATGCTTCCATGTCTGCACATCACTGGGGTCAGCCCAGACCAGAACCCTGACTCCTTCCCAGCGCTTTCTGCACAGCTGCCTCAATGTGGGATGAAATCTTAAACATAACTGTGGGCTGGCCATTTCTGGGCAGCCTGGATGCCCACCTGGTCTATGACTGCTTGCTGAAGTGTCTTCTGGAGAATTTCCTGATGGCGTACTTCCATTAATATTCTTACCATTGTTGGCACTATGATTGTTAGCACCACATGGCACTTCTATCCTGACCTTTCCATTCAGGAGGAAAGCAAGCACTTTGCATGCTTCCCTGCATCATTCTTTTCCTGAAAACAACAACCCTGCCAGGTAGGATAGGCTGAGAATGAATGACCTGCCAGAAGTCACTCAGTGAACTTCAGGAATGAGTGGGGATCCAGACCTGTCTCTCTCAGTCCCCATCCCTCTTACTGCACGCTTGATCCCATGCACGGATGCACACCCAAACTCCCTCTGCTTCATCCTATCAAGCAAGAACAGTTTCAGTGTTAGACATGCCTATCCTCAAAATGGCTTCCCCTCCTGGATACATGAGCGGGAAACACGCAGTCCCAGCACATGCAGTCCAAGGGGAAGAGGATGCCAGAAATGGGCAGTGGCCACAGCAGTTAGGAAAATGGAAACTTTTCCAAAGGGAAATAGAAGGGGAGGGGAGAAGAAAGAGGAAAAGAGCCTTCCCTCCCAGTCCTTCAGAGGCTGCTGGGATGGGGCTGACATCCTCCATCAAGACCTTTCCCTTTCAATGCACTTCTTGGCCATCCCTGCAGAAGGAAATTTGGACAGAACACCTGGCCCCATCCCCAGAGGTGAAGCTGGGCACTGAGGGACAATTAGTCTGCAACGTGATGAGGGTGCACACTCAGAGATAAAGTTGGCATGAGCCTGAGCTCCAGGCACCAACCTGAGAAAACAAAAATGGGAATGGCAAAGCAAGGCAGGGGCTTTGCAGGGCCAAGTTGCCCCACTGCAGATGCAACATGGGGGTGGAAGGATTGCAAGCAGGGGATACAGCAGATCACCCCTTAAAGGCCAGTAGCAAAGCACATGAGGGAAAGAGTCCCTTGATCCTGCTTACTTAAACTGGGTCATGTCAGCAAGTTCTCAGAGCATGCCTTTCTTGCACATGGGAGAGAGGAAGCTTTTCAGGCTGGAGCACAGGGGTGCTCCAGCCTGAAAACCACAGGGGTGCTCCAGCCATATGGCCATTTATTAGGGAAATCACACTGCACACTGGTCTTCCTGCTAAACCCCATGGGGTCCCCTCCCCCAAGGACCATCCTGAGCCCATGAGGCACACCTGAGATTGCAGGGCTGTGCCTAGCATCTAAGTAAAAAGGCAAGGCCCCTCCTTCCCTGCAGCCCAGCTCAGGGATAGGGAGAAGCTGGAGGCAGCACAGGAGTCTTCCATGCAGGGACACTTATTCTCATTTCCCTCAGCTGGAGCCTTGTCTGCCTGGGCTCCTTGTCCATTTTGGAAGGAAATTCCTCTAACTGTTCCTCTACTTGGTTGAAAGGGGAAGGATGGAAGTCTTGCCAAGAACCGGGAGAATGGCGCTCTTCATTCTGCTGCTGCTGCTCCTCCCAGAGGCCTGCTGTGGGATGCTGGATGTCAAGTGTCCCTGGAGATGGCACAAGGCTGAGCTGCAGCCACAGAACTTTTACCGGCCAGGAGACTTCATCTTTGGTGCCAGCATCTCTTTGGCAAGAGGTATTTTTGGACCACACACTTTCAATAAACCTGCTTCTAATGAAGAGCTTCAGTAAGTTTTTGGCCAGCTTGACATGATGCCACAAAGCGCTGTGGGCAGCCAAGCAGCGAAGCTTGCAGTGGCATGCAAAGCTGCAGCAATTGCTTTCAGCTGGCTTCTCTCTCGTGAACTCCCAGCCAGGTACCCACAAGCAGCATAGGCCAAAGGGGAGTTCATGGCAATGGAAAGGCCGCTGGCCCAGAAGGTGCACCACTTTCTTGGCTCTGCACTCCTCTTCCTTCCCATTTCCTTCAGCAATAGTGGCTGCACTTGCTGGACTCCTGCCTCGGATGGGCACAGTTGCTGCCTGTGTCTTGAATGGGGAGTGGATCTGACTCAGACAGGAAATAGACCTTCCCCAAACTCTGGAATCCCACCAGCAATTCTGCAGGAATCAACAGTTGAGCTCTTGCTTTGGGTTGGGACCAGGCAAAGCATGTGGAAGCCTAAGGAGCAGGATGTAACCTGAAAGTGCAGAAGAAGGATTCACAAGCAGGATGGCAAGGTGGCCCGCTTGATTTCTTATTTCAGGTTGGGCTCCACAGATTATTGGACGTTCCTCTCCATTCTGTTTGCCATCCAGGACGTCAACCAGAATCCCAGCCTCTTGCCCAACCTCACCCTGGGCTACAGCATCTATGAGAACTTTCATGATGTTAGACTGACGTCCGACGCAGCCATAGACCTGCTCTCGACCTCTCAGGCCCACGTTCCCTACTACAAGTGTGGCAGATGAAATCAACTGCTGGCTGTCCTTGAGGAATCTGACTCCGACAACTCCATGCAGCTTTCCAACCTGCTGGACATCTTCAAAATCCCACAGATGAGAGACTTGGGAGAAGCGATATGAGGTGCCATGCAGAGAAAGCCAAAGTTTCTCCAACACATTTGCATGCATTGTATCCCTCCCAGGACATGAGACAGTCCTACTCAATCCCTAGATGAAAAGGGTTCAAGACCCTTTGCTTCCCACCAGGCATCCATCAGTACTGTTCGTGGCAAGGATTTGAATAAGGTCCTTCTTCTTCATTTTCTGACCATGAGAGACAGGACATTCCAGGAAGTTATTGAGTAAAATGTCTCTTTATTGTAGGTACACTCCCACATCAGAGCGTGCGCCCATCTCCTGTCAACAGCACTGTCCGCAGCCGCATGCACAGGGCTTTATTCTGTTCTGCTTTTTGCAATGATTAGATACTGAGAGAATATAAAGGCAGTTACTTTTTTACACAGTTGCCTTAAGCTATGCCTCTGGTGTGAAATGATCTGGCTCCAGGCTGATCTTTCCCAAGTTCTCTCCTTCATGGCCAAGGTTTATACTTTTGACTCTTTATGTCTCCAGGATAGAATCCTAAATAATAGATGTTTGTTGTTTGGCCACCAGGAATAAATTGTATTCTCCATTAGGACCAGATGTAGAATGAGTTATTCTGCCCTTCAGGGTCAATCGAATCATTGAAATCCAAGATAATTTCCTTTTCTTCCCCATGCATGAAATGCAGAAGGGAACAGACAACCCTGAGACCCCAGGAAGGTGACCACAGCATCTGTGCTTCACCAACCCCATGAACCAAATTCTTCTCCCACTCATACAATGTAGTTTTGGGAAGTTTGTTTGCAGATGAAAAATCAGGAGAAGTTCAAATGTTCACATTACTCCTAGCATCCATTTTTCAGTGTTTTAAACTATTGATAAAATACTTTATTTTTCAGAAAATTATAAGCATTGCTTCTTCTTGAATTGTGTTTCATGCATATAATTAAAGGTTGAATGACTTTTTCTCATGAATGGAGCAACTTAGATTTGGTGCTGAAGTGAAGCAACCCATCAGTCTCTTCCTTTCTTTCCCAGATCATGTATACATTCACTTCTCAGGTTAGGAGAGAAAATAGTTGGTCCTCTTCCTTCTACTGGATGCTGCCTGAAGAAGGCATCCAGTACCCAGGGATTGTCAGGCTGCTGCTGCACTTCGGGTGGAGGATGGTTGGTCTCTTTGCACTGGACACTGAGAATGGAGACAGGTTCATGAGAATGGCATTTGCGTGATTTTTTCATGCAGCATCTCCGAGGTGAAAACGGGTGGTATTCCAATCAAGCTGCAGTCACTGAAGGAGTTGGTAAAAATCCATGTCTTTGTATATTTTGAAGAGGCCTTCTCCTCGTATGCAATACAGATTGTAGAAGCAGTTAGAGAAATGTTTATGAAAAATGGTAATGAGAAAGTCTGGATCACCACAACTTTGTATGATTTTACCTTGGATTTAGTTTATACATCTTTTGATTTCCAGCATTTCTATGCATATTTTTCTTTCATTCACCAAACAAGTAAAAGTATTAATTTTAATGGTTTTAATGTTTTGTACTTCTTCATGGAGAAATACATGAAGAGAGCATTCAAGTGTTCCTATTTACAGCATGTGCTGTCAGTGAAAGAGTGGACAAGATGCAGAGAGGAGGAGAAACTGGAGGGCCTACCCCAAGTGGACAAGGAGAGGAAATTGTCTCTGGACAGCTTCTTTGCTTACAACACAGTCCAGGCTGTGGCCCGTGCTGTGGATGCGGCTGTTTCCTCCAGATCCAGGATGAAAGACATTGAACGTGGAGGCATGATAGACATGCTCCATCTCCATCCAATGCAGGTATTCCCTCCTCTTCTTACGTGCTGAATTTAGAATGTGAGAAACTGGGATGAGATTTTCCAAATGGAGGGGCAGCTTTATCTCTGCTCTGGTCCCTGTTGTGGCCCCTTCTGCTGACTTCCTGGAAGAGAGTCCATTTCATCATGGCAAATATATTTGGTCTGAATCATGTTGAAGCAGAACATTGAAGGAGGAGGAGGATTGTAAAGATTCTTGCTCACATTCCTTGACCTAAGTATAATGAGACTTGAAAGAGTAGGATCCAAAATGAAGGCCTAAGGACCTGGAAACCTCGCCTACAGTAGTGGCCTGACACCTCCATGAAGTATCTTTCTGTCTGTCTGTTTTTGGTCTAACGTCGGAAAGGCAGATATGTGCAGCTAGTGCAAGCCAGCAGGTATCTTGGAAGGAAAAGTGGAATTGCGGATGCAGTGAGGGGGCATCCTCATGGGAATGAGACAAATATGATTTCTGAGGTGAAGCAGTGCAGTTGTGATGCTAAGTCCAGTACAGAAGTGAAATGGGGATCTGAGGCTGAGGAAGGGAATCCCAAGTGAAGTGAAAATATGGAGGGAAGTCCCTGGATAAAAGGGAGGGCTGTCAGGAACAAAGGAGCCAAACGATGCTCTTCACTGCTGGAAGCACTGCAACCATTGAACCAATTTTGGCTCCCTGAAAATCAGACTCTCAGGCTACATGTAACCACAATGGAAGAGCGAGTGGACAGAGTGGCAGCTACAGGAGCTCTGGGGCAATGCACCCATACAATGCTTGAATTCTGACTGAAGGCCAATCCAAGTGCAGTCAAACCGATGCCCCGAATGGCAGGAAAGCCCATTTTAGGAAACTGAGAACAATGCTAAGGAAAGGGCCAGACAAGTGACGTTGAAGAGAAATGCAGTCCCATGCCATGTGAAACTAATGACAAAAGGATGGGGTGTGGATTTTTATTTAAGGAAAAGAAGAAGACAAAGGAGACAGTCTCTTCCACATGCTTTCAAAATAGAGACTCTGATGATCTTAATACCATTCCTCTGCACCCAAATATAAGAGGTTGAAGGAAGGCGAAGCAACAACAGAGAAATGCAGGCATGAAGCATAGAATGGAAGGGAGGGCATCAGCATCAGGAAGACTAAAGAGCAGAATCAATGGATACTAGTGAGGGACTTCAAAAACCTTTGGCAACCAAAAACCTTCTCCAGATACATCCAGAGTAAAAGGCATGAGAAAGCTGCTGTGGTTCAGGTAGCCCCAGCAGCTGGTAAAAAGATGACGGAGAAGGAAAGCTCCAAGTTCTCAGGTGCTTCTTTGACTCTGTCTTCCTTAAAAAAAAGGAGGAAGGAGCACCCTGTGGAAGGGAAGGACTGTGGGAATACTGCGGATATTATCTATGTGGACTTCAACAAAGTTTTGGACAAAGTGCCCTTTGACATCATGATTAGCAATGCAGAGTTGCTAATGCAGAGTTGGCTACAGAATCGGACTCAAAGTGTGTTCATCAATGGCACACCTGGAGCTAATAAATGGGGATCTGCAAGGTTCAATCCATGACCCAGTGCTCTTCACCATTTCCACTGATGACTTGAATGAGGAAGTGCAGGGAATGTGGGTCAGATTCTCAGAGTTCACAAAAGCAGGGAGGGTAGCCTTGTTGACCAAAAGACATTTCACAGGATGTCACTAGGAGAAACAGGAAAGCATTCAGAGGAGGGCAACAAGGTTGACACATGGACTGGAAAGAAAGACATATGAGTTTATCTTGAATGAACTTGGCAAATTTAGCCTGGAGATGAAAAGACTGAAGGGAGGTATGATAGCAATCTCTGCTTGATCATCGCAGAGTGCAGAATTGGAAGAAAGGGCTTGAGGGAAATGAAGCCCTTCTGGGCCCCTTCGAAATCCCCTGCTCTGTGATTCCTGTGAGACCCTCAAGAAGTTAGTATCCTAAAATGAACTGCCAATCAGCTTCTGTAGGATTAAAGGCTCTGGAGCAGAACTGTCCATTTACTGCTTCTAAGGGTAGGTGAAACATTGCCCTCAAAGAAGCTGCCCATCTTTCCCTGAGGCTTGTATTCTTGGTTTCCTAAATGCCTAAAGGAGACCATGGGCATTCACCCCTGAAAGCAGAATTCTGCATATAATAAGAGTCATACCAAGCCATAAAAGTTTTTTCTTTCTCTGTTCTTCCAGCTCCACCCTTTCCTGAGTGACCCCCAGTTTCACAATCATTCTGTTGACGGGGTTTATTTAGATGAGAAAGGAGACTTGGCTGTCGACTTGGACCTTGTCAATTGGGTGAAATTTCCCAATGGTAGCGTTGCAAGAAGGAATGTTGGGAGTCTAGAATGGAGGGGCTCCCCTGGCCCCAAATTCACCATTTGCCAAGATCCCATTGTGTGGCCGAGATGGAAAGATCAGGTGAAGAAAACAATCCTCATCATTCCATTCTTTTCATTTCCCGTCCCTTCACCAAGCTGCTGGATAACAGGAGTACAGAAATTTATTATGTAAATAAAAAGCATGAGATGTAAGCATTGTAGTGAATAAAGGTGGTGCATTTAATTCTGAGGGAATATTCAGCTTCTTCAGCTGCACAGGAATGTGTCCAGATATGGAATCTGCTGAAATGCTGGTGGTCCTCTCCTCTCCTCATTTGTCTCCCCATTTCCCAGCTTCATTAGCTCAACCCCGACACCAGGTTTCACAGTAGCCCTATCTGCACCAGATATTGCTCTCTAAAAATTTCAGTTGCATTCAGTTACAATTAATTTCAATGTTTTATTCTTTTATTAGCATCTTTACTGCTCAGTTTCTGGTAATTTTAGAGAAAATTCTTTTTTTAGTAATATATATAAAAACTAATACACAAGATAATATATTGTTTATAGACGGCTTTTTACTCCTGCCTCAGCAGTCCCCGAAATAATTTTCCTATTACTGCTGGTCCACAATGGTAAAAAGGTTGAAACCCACTGAATTAGAGAATCCACTGAACTGCTGGAGGTCCTCTCTTCTCGGTCCTTTCCTGCTCTGTCTCCCCAGTCGCAGCTTCCTCAACCCAACCCTTCTCCCTTGATGCTCCTTCTCTCTCGCTCAGCTGCTGCTGCAGGCCAGATGTGTGGAGAGCTGCTGTCCGGGATTCTTCAAGGTGGCTCGAGAAGGACAGCCCGTGTGCTGCTACAACTGTGCTCTATGTGCGGAAGGGACCATCTCCAATCAGGAAGGTGGGTGAGTGCAGGAGAAAAGGCACTTCCTGTGAAGAGGGAGAAGATCTGACCATATTTTGGGAAGCATTTAGTGGTGCTAAACCATCCTGCAAAGACCTTAGAATGGCTTGGAGGATCAAAACAAAACATTTTCATGCCTGGGGGTGCGTTTACCCACCCTCTCCCTCCCCTCCTGAAAGCATTACATGGACCAAGCCCTGAGGGGTTCTTTCCTGCTTCCCCGAATGCCTTGTTCCCTCTTTCCTTCAGCATCCACAGACTCCTTGTTCTTCAGAAGACTCAGAACATGTTTTCCCTTCACTGCTTATTGCTGCTAAGCCTCCCCTGCCCTCCCTAATTCTCCATTCCTCCTAGTCTTGTACATCTCCCCAGGAACATTCCCTACTACTTTTGTGGGTGCTGATGTGTCAGTACACCTTTTTCTCCCTCCACAGTACCCATCACAACACCTTGGCACATGAAGCCAACCTTCCTGTGCTGTTGTTTCCCCCCACTTGTACAGCAACCACCCCACCCTGAGATGTTCCCCCAACAAGAAGTGGGTAACTTGCAGTAAAGGAACTTCCTTAAGCATAAGGGACTTTTGGACCCTCTGTTGCCTCCCTTGGAAGAGCTGAAGGAGGACATCTTGATGGCACTGCAGTGCTTCACATCAGGGAGGATGCAGGGCAGGGTTGCTGGGTCCAGAGGATGATGCAACAAGTGGTTCCCTTGGTTTTTGGGGCATGGGGCAGCAGGTTCACATTTGTAAAGCAGTGTTGGGAGGAAGGACATTTTGCTTGGAGCGTCCGATGTGCATGTTGGGCTTCAACATTTTGTGTAATGGGCAGGGGGCAGATGGGTTTAAGTCCAAGAGGATTGTAACGTTCCACAACATTTTATGTTTTCCTAAAAGTGAAAAACAAGGCATAAAAGGTAATACAATGAATGTGTCTTCAAGTGCACTGAATGTCGAATACAACACGATAAAGCATTCACTATTTCTTTATTCAATTTCTTTACATTCAGCCATATCTATTGAGAAAATCAAGGGCCAGGGACTATTGCATCCCCAAGGTCATCACCTTCCTCTCCTATGAGGAATATTTGGGGATCGTCCTCACTGGCATGGCCCTTCTCTTCTCCGTTGCCACAGGAAGCATTTTGGAAATCTTCAGGAAATTTCAAGAAACCCCAGTAGTCAAGGTCAACAACCGAGAGCTCTCCTACATTCTGCTTGTCTCCCTCCTGCTTTGCTTTGCATGCCCTTT